CTGATTCACTGAACGCCAGTGTCAGTGTATGTACTGATTCACTGAACACCAGTGTCAGTGTGTCACTGCAGTCAGTGCGCTCAGTGCAGTGGTATCACTGTCAGTAATTCATTGTTTTCACCGAAACTGCACATCCCTAGCCATGGTTACGACATCAACCGATCTGAAAATTTGAGAATTACCACAGATCATGTACAGGGTGTATCAAAAGTAACAGGAGAAGTAGCTTTTTCAATTGTTTTTCTTTTATACATGAACATGTACATCTCATGTCTAGTTCACATATGCTATCTGATACTAGTCATAGACTCTTCAGATAATCAGTCCCAAAACACAGCAGCTTTGGCAAAAGCATAAACATGCATTAATTGCTCGTACGTGACTAAATGATAAATTCATTATGTCTTGTGTTAAATACGATTTTCACATTCTTGTCTATTTGTCGCACTGTTATATACGAACATGATTCAGCTAAATCTCGTATTCTTTTTGTCTACAGAAGCTGAAACTTTGATCCAGCCGAATTTCTATTTTAGGATGATACGCACAGGCAAGAATTTGAAAATCGTATGTAACACTTAAAACTTGAATTCAAGTATTCAACTATTGCAAAGCCTAGGACAGACTGCTAAAGAAGAAAAGCCGCGCAAGTGTTGGGAGAAACAAACTCTAGCAATCTCTTCAAGGTCGACGGACGTTAGGGTAAACTGTTTACGGGTATAGTTATGAGAATAAAATAGACATTATTCCGGCACACACCTCTTATATCAGCATCGCAGTGTGGAAGCACGGAGTGTTCCTCCGCCCCGAAGAACCACGAGGGTGCATGTGGGTGTAAATATGAATTAGGTCGAAAACCAAGACCACACCCACAGAGCCACAACCACATCCCAGATAACGGTAACGGTGTGGTAAATATCCACTCTACTACTGGTAGCTATTCTTGGATTCTTAAGCTATACTGTAGGGAACAGAGCTCAAGGGTACCTCACTATGATAAGAGTTGAGGAACCAAGGATATCCGCCAAGAGTTGAGAGCAACTACTGAAGAATCATCACTGCTATCAGTAATTGATATCATATCCGTTGCTTGGTAACTGATTACGACTCAATTACCAGTTACTTGGTAACGTAACGGTAACTTCTCCTCTAGTGAATCTCTGGCTACTCCAGGATAGCTCTTGAAGGCTTTTGAATGCCTCCTAAAGTAGCCCTTGAAGACTTGTATATCCTTTTTCGATGGATCTTGAGGATATACGGCTTCTCGATAAGATAGCGTCTGAAAAGCTATGGATCTCTAGTCTAAATATCTTTTAACAAGCTTATAGTACTACCTCTAGGCTTACCTATCCAGCTCTCGTGACACTTTGCCTTATATATCGTATCATAAAAAATTTCTTTATATTGTTTACATTCATGATTGTCTGGTATTTCTGCCAAGTTAGATAAAAGTTTATAGCTTTCAACCTATATGTTTCTTTTTTTTCTAGATTTATTCATTTTAAACCTAGGTATTATAGTGAAATTTACAAAAACAAAAAAGCATGGCGCAACCAGCGTCAAAGCCAACATTTTCTATCGAAGATACATCCAAAAGATTGGAAGTTGAATTAGCACGATTATTGAATGAAAAAGATGGCGATACAAGTTTGGCTCAAGTACTGATGGATCGAATCATAGGCAATGTGCGTCGATTAACCATGGAACAAGCTGGACATATTCTTCGCTTTGTATTCTATCCATTTGGAACGGGCATACTCAATCTCAGTTCACAGGTATAAAAAAGTTAATCAAAATATTCGTCTGAAATGTTATAGTAACATCGAAACTTTTATGTTAATTGAGATCTGAAAATTCATCTCATTTATTTGTTCTATGTACACAGCCGAAAACAAGTAAAGGGAAATCACTTTAGGAAAGCAAAGTAATCGTTAAGCGATTAAATCGACCGCTGCCGAAATCAAGTTTCTTATTTTCCATCTAGTCAATGGACATGTTACACGTCCATTATCATTCAAGTTAGACAGTTACTTCTAACTCTGGCTGTATGCAGCTGTTTTAGAATTTGTTATTGTCTTATGTTCTCTCATCTTGCATTATACAGTATTCATATCAAGTATTTTTGTGAAACTTTCAGCATCCTTTTATTTTAATTCTACATCAAGTAAAGATTCATCCTTTCTCCTATCACATGCTACGAGTTGAATATGCCAAAATATTCATCCTTCATTTCTTCCTGAAAATTCCACTGAGAATTCATATATACAATTAGAAGATTACTCATAGCGAAAGCCGATTCAATATTAATGTGAAAACACGGGTCCAATTTGACACAGATACGATTCAACAGCTCTTTTAGAGCTTTGCACATTGATACAATTATGATGAACTTGCGAGATATGCTAGGATAAACTTATGTACATTTACTTTTGAGTCTCGTTATGATACAGCTATAGATATTATTCAGTTTTCTAAAAACCTATCATATTCATTTTTAATTTTTTCTAACTCACATATCTTTTCGAAGAAAATAGTGTGTGTACGATTCAAGACCGATCTTTGATAGTTGCCTCCTTCCCATGATAGACATCTTATCAACGCAGAATCCTGTTATGGAACTTGCCAACGAGTCTTTAATGACCTTAGACATTACAGGCCAGAGAACATATATGAGTTCGATATTAGAGTTCCCCACAGATTGCACTGCAAAACTTTTTTCGTCATGAAAATGACCACTTATATATAGGTTTAGGCCATTTGTTGATCATTTGAAATTTTAATGCTTCGAATCGTATGTCGCAGAGCATCTGAAAATCAATTATAAAGTTGTGAATTATCATGTTGAATACGTTTTACAGAGAAGATATTTCAAAATAGTATGGAGTTATTTACAAATAGCAAGATTTTATGCTAGAATAACCTTGTCTGATAATATTTAATTGTTCTAGTAAAGTGATTTCTTGCGAATAATTAGAAAAAACAGCCTGAACGAATTCATGTAACTAATCCTTTTATAAAAGGAAAATTTTATTGACCTCTAGAAACTTATAGAGAATACAGAAGTAGATTAATAGAAAGAAGATTCATTATTTTTAGTATTTAATTACTCAAATTTCTATCTCACTCATCCAGGTATTCATTATATACAGTGCTCTAGATGAATATATAGATGTCTTACATGGATTTCGACAATAACTATTTCTTTTTTTTTATATATCATTCCAGGAACTCAGAGGTCAATATAATTCTTTTTTTTATTCGTAAAGCAATCATTTATATCGTCTAGCAAGACTAAACTGCTCATCATTATTTGTACATAAAAAAATTGTTGCCACAATGATCAAATGTTGTCACTATGCTTATAGTGATGTGATATTGATTTGTCACTAGTTTCATGATATAATATCAAATATTTCTCTAAACCTTATGTAGTTAATAAATAGTTATTACTACGATGAAATGAATCAAAGAAGAAAATCATGTATTATAAAGAACTGAAAGAATATGCATAATTATTAAATTAAATATAAAATTTACATAAGTTTATTTTAGAACATCCTAGAGAACTACAATATCTATATTTTCTATATATACACATATTTCTCAAGAATTTTAACCAATATATGAAAATAGATCACATCTAAATGTTGGAAACAGTTGATTTCGTAAAAACGATGAAGTAGATCAGAAATTGGTGTATGAAACCATGTATACGATATCTTGATTTAAGACCGGTTGCTACCCACGGAAAAATTTTTGAACAAAAATCGCGAGAAACCGCGGTTTTACAAACTACGGTCATCAACGGTTTTCCGAAACCGCGAAAGTCAGACCTTTTATGCGGCTTTTGAAAACCGCCAAGAACCGCGGTAATTTCACACCGCGGTTTTCACCGATATCCAAAGCCGCAAAAAAGGTCTGACTTTCGCGGTTTCGAAAAACCATTGATTACCGCGGTCTGGAAAAACCGCATTAAAGGTCTGACTTTCGCGGTTTATTCAAGCGGTGATGACTGCAGCGTACCAATACCGGAGTTTTTGGTGGTTTTAAAAAACCGAATAAAAGGTCTGACTTTCGCGGTTTCCTGGAACCGCTAGAAAACGCGGTTTCCTGAACCGCTGGAAAACGCGGTTTCCATGACCATACCTGATTCAGGTATGATCAGAGTCACCTAAACTTATGATAAAGTTCAGGTGAGCGACCTTTCAAGGGGTCTGTAGTGAACTTTAGAAGTTCCATTACCACAAAGTTACTTTGTAGTGAGAGATAGAATAAGAAAACATGCAAAATTTTCATGAAAATAGCGGGGCACGACATCCTCTTCGTCCTTACACGTTCCATCGCGATGGTTTAAGCACCAAAAATACCGCGGTTTCTCTGCTGATAAACGCGGTAATAAATAACGCGATTATTCGATGGCATACCGGGGTTTCTGAAACCGCTGAATGCTGTGGTATTTGCCACCGCAGTTACTAATGACTATACCGCGGTTTTATAAACCATTGAATACCGTATTATTTATCACCGCGGTTACTGATGGTTACACCGCGGTTTTAGAAACCGCTGAATATCGCGGTATTTATTACCGCAATAAATAATGACTATACCACAGTTTTTGAAATCGCTCAATACCGCCCTTATTAACCACCGCGACTACTGATGACTATACAGCGGTTTTAGAAACCGTTCAATGCCGCGGTATTTACCACCGTGGCTATTAGGGACTATACCGCGTTTTTGAAAACCACTCAATACCGCGATGTTTACCACCGCGAGTATTGATGACTATACCGCGGTTTCTGAAACCACTAAATACTGCGGTATTTATTACCGCAATCACTAATGACTGTATCGCAATTTTTGAAACCGCTCAGTACCGCCCTACTTACCACCACGGTTACCGATGAATATACCGCAGTTTAAAAAACCACTCAATACTGCGGTATTTATCATCTCGGTTACTGATGACTATACCGCGGTTTTGAAAACCGCTGAATACCGTGCTATGAAATACCGCGGTTTCCAATTACCATACCGCGACTTTTTAGACCGTTGAATACCGCGGTATGTAGAACCGCCACCACGAATACGAGCAACGCGGTTTCAGAAAACCGTGGTTCAAAAAAACCGCTATCAACCGCGGTTATCCAATCCAAACCGCGGTTTCCTCTAGTGAAACCGCGGTCGAATGAAAAAAATCGCGGTTTTGAGCGGTTTTTCGAAAAAAATTTTTCCGTGGGTAAGCTTCTCAGCATGCGATAGATATCATATTCTTTCTTTTGTCGAAACATTTAGTATGATTTCAAAGTGTATCAAAGAATAGATTCATCATGATTTTACTTCTTTTTAAATTTGTTAATTTCTATCGTTTTAACGTAGTCGAAATAGGATACTTCCAATGATGTATTGATAACTTAAAGTTCTTCGTCATTATCATGTTGTTTTTTAAATTTTCAGGTGACAGCTATCAAGATGGCTAATCTTATGGCTTGGTGGCTAAGAGCAAAGCCCAGTGAAGCTCCAGCACGAGGTTTACTTGAGCATGTTCGAGAACGAAAAATTACTGTTGTAACTGTGCTGCCAAATGGTCAACTTCAATTTGAGTAAGTTATTGCAGATTGAATCATTTTTTTCATTATAATTGAACATCATGATTTCAAAAATTTAAACATAGAATATTTTGTTCTTTTTGACAAATCTAACACATCTAAAATTAATTTTGTCCGTTAACATATTTGTTAATCTGGGTATCTTTTTCTTGTAAAAAATGACTTTTCTTTCAGAAACAAGATATTATCATATATTGACAAGATCGAAAATTCTGAAAAATGCGACAATCTTCTGCGAGTTTTATTGCATTATCAATTTGCTCAAAGCATAGCAAACAATAATTTCATCTAAAGAAAGTCGTCTTTGGAAAACTAATCTTCCTTGTTATCGAATAATAAGTTCATTTTTTATGGAATGATTAGTTTTCATCTAAGCATAAGAGTATTTTCCCTTTGGCTATTTAGATATCTAAATTGGCAAATGATAAGATATTTGTGATGATAGTAACGTTTGTTTTTTTAATACTTTTTTTCAATTGAAACAAGTCTTAGATATCAAAAGGATCTGGTTTTTGAATAAATAAAGCTTATGTTTGACTTAAAATCAAACATTTTCATTGTTCAACCGACTTTGAATTCGAACTTGAAGCATTATGTAGATCCTATTGATCTATGAGAACTGCAAAAGAGTCAATCTCTTTAAGTTTTCTCTTGAAGCTTATAAAAGATTAGACTGCAGTTTTTGTCTCATACTGTGATATACAGCAAAATATCAAAGTATGATATTTTGAGCTGAGGTTATGTCTACGTACAACTCAATTAAGGCGGGAGTGGAAATGAGAAGAATCCATACCATTCACATTTCATACTCTATATTTCGAGAGATTTTACGACTCGTCGTTCAATTTCACACATTAAAGTCTGTTTCCACTTGTTTGGCATTACATTTAAAATCTATGTTCGACATTTAATTTTGAAAATTTTTATTTGAAAACTATAAAATAGTGGCATAAAAAAATATATGTGCCTACTTCTCATAAGACATGGATATAGCTAATTTTCTTTTCTTACTCAATTTAATATGCAATCTTTGAAGCAGTTTTGATTTTATTTAAGTTTCGGCTAATATTCATTTTTTTCCATATAAAATATCTTAGTGAATCTATTTTGTTTATAAACGAATATTTTACTTTCATCATTCACAATTGATTAAAATCAAGATTACCGTTCCTTTCAAAAATCTATTTAGCAATAATTTGAACTAATTTACAATATTCTTGTTACTATTCACTTTTTATATTAATAGATATTCAAGTAGAAAATCAAATTTTGCGTTTTAAAACTTTTTCTCAACTCCATGAATAATACTAGTAGAAAACTGCAATAGTAGTATTTCTTCATAAGAAAAAAAAACAAGAATGCCAGTAATAAATATGTTTGATAATATGTTGATTTGATTTTTATTGAATTTATTTATTCTTATTATACAGTTTGACATGAAAAATTATTAATTCTACTTTATCTTCTTTTATTAGTCGACAAGATAATCCAAACAAACCACTTACTCTTGTTCATCTAATTCGTCTATTTCGTTGTCCTCATTGTACTGGCAAAGAGATGAATGGATTAATTCAATTACTTACAGAATGTATCAATTTCACTGAGAATAATGCTGTTGATATGCGTAGATATCTTGTTCAACCGACCTTTTTCGAAGCAATTTGGCGAATCTATTTCGATCCATTAATAATTGAAAGTGCTCAAAGTACAGATCCGGCAGTTCGTTCCGATGCTGTTAATCAGTTAGCATATCGATCAAAACAAACGCTTATTGTAAAATGGAGTGATGGTCGCGAAGACGAATGCAATGATGGACGTGCTCTACCACGTCTACGGGTTAACGATCTTGTTCACAAAGCACTCGATGCTTGTCAAAATTCTGAAGAACTTAAGAATTTACTAAAACCTATGAGTTTAACAAGTATCAAAGCTATTTATATATATCCTATATGGCTTGAACTTTTTCATTATTTATTGAAGTTAAAATCAAACCTTTTCGATATTGAAATGTGTGAAATTATATTCGATCGTTTACAAGTTCTCGATATGATTGGCTATGAAAAAGAATTACAACAATTTATTATTTATCTATTCAGTGTTTGGCCAACCATAGAAGATGATAATTTGCATAAATTTGTTTTACGTCATATTGTTGAATTTATAAAAAGAATTATCGATTGTAAAACAGATGAATCAAATACTCTCATTGAACAATTAACAGAACATATTTGTGCAAATACACCAGTTTCTAATGTACGTGGTCATATGTGTTTTTATTTTCTACTTAAAGAATTACTTCCAAAATATTGTGAAGCACGTTTAATAAAAGCAATTAAAAAAATTGATAAAGGTGTTATTTTATATTTTATTGATTATGTCATTGAAAATAATCAAAATGATATAAATGATCATTGTTCAATTTTATTATCAATTTTGGATCATATAAGTACATTTACTGAAATTGATTTACTACGTCCACTTATAACATATACTATTAAATATCCATTAAATTTGATTTGTTTTGAACTTATTAAACATTCACTTTGTCCAATAACAACATTAGTTACATATGTTCAACAGGCAACTCATGAACAAGTAAGTGAATTACTTGAATGTAGTGAAACAGATATTGCTAAACAATTCATTCCAACTCTATTAACAATTATTGAAGCATTAGCAAAAAATTCACAAACAGAAAAATATATATTTGACTCTAGACTTTATTTGATTATTCAAAAATGGTTATTAATTATTAATGTTCCATCAATAATTATTCGTCTTATTGAATTACTTCTCGATATTGGCTATTCAAAATATAATAAATATAATACAGATATTGCAAATTTTTTTCTTAATCAATATTTAACTAAATTTCTATCGATTAATTTCGAAAATCCTAGTCGATTGTCTCGTATTGTCTTATTTCTTGCTTCATTTGCTGATATTGATCCATCGACAACGATTAGATGTGAGCCATTATTCAAAGCTTTTTTTCGTCAAATTGAAGAATCAACTAATAATGAATCGATGGATTCATGTAAATTTCATTTGCTTAGTCTTAGTAATGAAATTGTCAAAGAACGATCACGTTCAAAACTTGTTGAATTACTCTCACCATTTACATTGGATATTATACCTATATTAGGTCATACTGGTGAATTAAAACGAGCTGCTATTATTTTACTTGCTGAAATTTTAGAATTATCACCTAATGAACGTTCTGTACTTGATGAACTTATTGAAAATCAATCCAATGATGATCAATCAAATGATGTTCTCATTGGTGATCAACGACAGCAAGCATCATTTTTTTCAACTGAACTTACCAGTACATCAGAAATTGTTCGAATAGGACATGACGATTTTAATCATGGACATAAATTATTAACAGATTTAAAAAGTGCTGAATCACATAAAATTGATCATATATTACGATCATATATACCACATCTTCATTTCGATCAATCATCTCCTATTATCGATCACAAACAACAAAAAGATCGTTTAATTTTAACAGCAACAGCACGCGAAAATGTAACTAAAGTTCTTGAAGTACTTGATGATCCCGTTCCGATTTTACTCGAAGGTAGTACTGGTGTAGGAAAAAGTGCAACTGTTATGGAAGCAGCTAAATTATCTGGTCGTGAACTTAAACGTTATAATATGTCATCGCGTATATCTATTGATGATTTACTTGGTAAAGTAACAATTGTACCAGGTGAACAAGGTCAATCAGTACAATTTAAATTTGATAATGGCCCATTTACAATGGCATTTATAGAAGGATATTGGATACTTTTTGATGAACTTAATCTAGCACAAGATACTGTACTTCAAGCTATTGAATCAGCTCTTGATAGACGTCAATTAACTATACGTAATGGAAGTTCAGCACAACAATCTGTTGTTGTTTATCATATGCATGAAAATTTTCGATTATTTGCAACACAAAATCCAAATACAGGTTTTTTTAAAAACAAACGTGAAAAATTATCACCATCATTTTTGAGTCGATTTCGACCGCTTATCTTTAAAGAATTACCTGATATTGAATGGCGTGAAATAGCTCATAGAAGATTATTGCTCTATTTATTTGATGAAGCAGAAAGTTTAGCTGAATTAATGGTGTCGAATTTTAATGCTAAAATTAAGAAAATGTTAAATAATGAAGAACAAACATTAATTGAAACGGGACCTTATGCCGAAATTTCCATTCGTGAACTGCTTAAATGGATTGATTTCATTACTTGGCAAGCACAAAATAACTCATGGCCTTCTGATGGAACTCAACGAACAGCTTTACTTAGTTTTAGTGCTTGGTGTGTATACGGTGCTCGATATCGTCATGTAGGTCGAACTCTTGTAGAAAAAATTTTAACAGATGATGGTAAAGGTGGTTGGGGTAGTCCAGCATTAAATGATATTAAATTTACTGTCGATCATAAACAAAATAAAATCTTTTTTGATAATGTTCAATGTTCAATACGTCTCGATTCATCTATTGACGATTCTGAAAATGAATGGAATCGTATTATAAATTCTGCTGAACTTAAAAATGTCAAATATGATAAAAATCTATGGAATTTAGCAAGTCAAACTCATCAAGCTGTTCATAAATTAATGCTCGATAGAGAATTCATTTGTACACATGCTGTCTATCGTATTGATCGTTCTTGGTTAGAAGAATGGATTATATCAGCTGCACAGTCTCATCGACTTGAAAAACATGATGAATTTGCTATACATGGTTGTCAATTATATGAGAATCATGTTCGTCATACTGAAGCACAAACAAAAATTCGTTCATGTTTTATAAATATATTCAAAAAAGTTGATTTTACTAAAATAACTTTCAAAGATTGTTTAGTACAACCAGAAATACCATATGTTCTTACTAATCGAGCATTGAAAACACTTAAACAAGTATGTTTTAATCGAACTATTAAACAACCAATTCTTGTTACTGGTCCTGAAGGTTGTGGAAAATCTGAACTTCTATTAACACTAGCATGGTTTTGTGGTCAACAAGTACAACAATTAAATATTACACCAGAAACTGAACCATCAGCTTTAATTGGTCAACTTATTCCTAATGATAATAGTGATAAAAATGAACAAAATAAAGATAAAAAATTAATTTGGCAAAATGGCTCGGTAACAACTGCATATACAACTGGTCAATGGGTACTTTTAGATAATTTAAGTGTAGCCGAATCGTCTGTACTTGAACGACTCAATCCTGTACTCGAACAAAATCCAATGTTGTGTTTGACAGAAAAAGGAGAAACAAACGAACAAGAAATGCATTCAGATTATCAAATGGTTGCTACAATGACACCACCTGATGGTCGTCAACAATCACATGGTAATGTTAGTGGTGCATCGAGTGAACTTTCACCAGCACTTTACAATCGTTTCGGCATTGTTCATATGATGGACATATCATTTAGTGCAACTGATAATTCATCAGAAATACTTCAAATTGCTAAAGCTCTTCTATCCGATGAACCGGATACTAATCATGAATTAGCTGTAAAATTCTGTCATAAAATTCTTGAATTCTACAAAAGTAACAATAGAAATTTTCCAAAATTTACTCTACGAAATATTATTCGGCTACTTGATAGTGCTTACCTTTTACGTTTAAAATTTAAATCTGAACTCAATTTTATTTCAAGTCTTTGGACAGCTTATCATGTTACAATTGCAAATCAAATTAAAAATGATGATCTTAAAAATGAAGTTACTAAACATGTTAAAGAATTATTATTGACTAGTAAAAAATCTACTGAACTTAAACAACCTAATTTTATCGATCAAATTAATCCAAATAAAGAACATATTTTGACTAATAGTCGACTTAATTATGCTAATGCAGTTTTAGGTGCTGTAGCTTGCAAAATTCCACTTTTACTCGAAGGTCCAGCAGCAGTCGGCAAGACAGCACTTATTTCACATTTATGGAAACATATGAAATCACCAAATAATAATATGACATCAAATTTATCTTCAGTAAAACTTGCACGTGTTAATAATACAGATACAACGACTATACAAGATTATCTCGGTACATTTCTACCAGTTAACAAGGATTTTGTATTTCAAGAAGGTGCACTCTATCGAGCTATGAAAAATGGTTGGTGGTTTCTTGCTGATGAATTCAATTTGGCTGATCCATCTGTTATGAATACTCTTTTTCCGTTATTAGAAGGTAAAAATTCTATTGCTATACCATCAAGTGGAAAAGTAATAAAAGCAAGACCTGGTTTTCATTTCTTTGCTACGCAAAATGATGCATCGTATGCAAATCGTCATCAATTACCTGTTTCATTACGTAATCGTTTTCTTGAAGTTCAATTTGATGATTTTCCAGCAAATGAATTACCAAAAATTATCTATGAACGTAATGAACCAGGCAAAGAAAAGCCAAAATGTTTGAAAGAAGATTCAACTGAAAAATTGTCGAATTTTTATCATAAAGTTATTAAAAAACAATCAAGAATTACATTTCGTGAACTTGTTAAATGGCTTCATAGACATGCAATATTTTCACCTGATAAAGAACTTTGGCCAATTGTTGGTACATCACTTTTAGCTGTTAAATATCCATCTGAAAGTTTAATGAACGAATCCTTAATGCAAGATTTAAGAGCAGTATGGCCAAATATAACCTTATTGAAAAATCCAACGATTGAAATACGATCTATTGGTACTAGTGTTCGTTTTCGAGAAGCTGATCTCTATGTTGATGTACCGAATATGACACTAAAAAATAGTATTATACCAACATCACCTGAATCATTTCATCGTTCACTTGTTCGTCTTGCTCTAGCTGTACATGCTAAAGAACCTGTTTTACTTGTTGGACCAACATCATGTAAAACATTACTTGTTGAAACCTGGGCTCGATTATCTGGCCGTTCTGATGAACTAATCAAAGTTCATTTAACACCCGACACAGAAGCAGGTAATTTAATTGGAGAACTTCAACCATATTCATTTCTTGATTTACTCAAACGTTTACCGGCTATGGCTGAACGTGTTTATATTCGTTTTCGAAGTCTCTATCGACATGAAAAGAAAACATTACAATTGGCAAAGCAAGATGATGTTTCTTTACAAACACTTACTGATGCGATTAGAATAGATCTTCCAAAAGCTATCGCTGCTTTTGAAAAAGCTTATTCACTTAACGAAGAACGTCGTCAACAGAAAGATGAAATTGTCGATGATTACGATGAAATCATTGCAAAAGCTAAAGAACGACAGGCATCGCTACTCGAAGAACCTATTCAAAACAATTTTCTTAATGTTAGATCATCACTATTAAAACCTTCATCTGGAAGAAATTCACCTATGCCGAGTTTTAAAAAAAAAATTTATGATGATGATGATGGTGATATAGATATGGCGTTGTTAGATATGAATATGACAAATCTAAACTTTTCATATGGCAAAATAAATGATGAAACTAATACTTCTGTGGGTTTAAATGATGGCTTTGGTGGTATTAGTACTACCACTGATTTAAATGATGGTTTTGGTGGCTTTAACAATTTTAGTAATCAGAGTTCAGCATCAAAAGCTATAAATAAAGTTACAGTACAAACTCTAGACGATGGTTTCGGTGGCTTCACTTCCAATACCGATGAAATTCCACTGCCAGTATCGACAAATAGAATTACAACAAACACAACAGACGATGGTTTTGGTAGTTTCATTTCGAATGTAAATCAAAGTTTAGTAACAACATCTGACAATCAAACTACAACAAATACAATCGATGATGGTTTTGGTATATTAGTTTCGCCATCAACAACGACTACTCAGTTGCAACCTATTAGTCAACTCGATGATGGCTTTGATTTACTTCAATATGTAACTCCATCACAAGAGACAAAAGAACCATTCATAATTACAAGCGATGAGCAAGACAATAATATTATTAATGATGGTTTTTCAAGTGTAATTACATCGAATGTATCGATTACCAATAATTCATCTTCATCTCAATCATCACTTTCTACGACTTCAACTAATAAAATAGATGTTCCCGAAGAATTATTACAAATTATGTCAGATATTATTGATAATTTTAAGTCAATGTTTGGACAGACAACTTATGCATCATTCATATCAAAAGATGCAGCATTACGTGATTATCATGATAAATTTCTTAAAGCTTGGGATTGTCTCAAATCTCCAGCATTCGATCGTAGTAAACCAATTTTTCTTTTCAATGATGGACCAGTGACAACGACAGCAAAACAAGGTGCTATTCTATTTCTCGAAGATCTTGATCTACCAAGTCAAGCTGTAATTGAACGACTTAATTCAATGCTTGAACCAAGTCCAACATTTGCATTAACTGAAGATATTACTAGTCATGTTGATAAAGGTCAATTAGATATTAATCTTCCAAATTATTTTCAAATATTTGCTACTGTTCATCAAGAACAAAGTCATCAATTACTCAAATTAAGTCCAGCTACTCGATCACGTTTTACAGAAATTCATATACCATCCTATTCTGATGATGATCTTAAAATAATTGTTAAAGCTGAGTTAACTAAAATCAATATAGATAAGAAGGAACTCGATTCATTTGTTAATACAATGTTTTTATTACGTAATAAATTAATTCGTGATACAGAATGGAAACTTAAAAATGATATTCAACTTCTATTTCGTTGGACAGATTTTATTAAAAATCATCATCAAGAACTTTTACTTACTCATCGTATGTTACTTGGTGCACGTTTCTTCTATTTTGATCAATTACCTATGCCGAGGCATGCTGCTCTTTTCGAAGATTGGCATAAGAATGTGTCATCTACAATTGAATATAAGGACTATGAACATATTTTTAAAGTACCTGATCATACACATGGAGCATTGACACTTGAATTGATTGCATCAGAAAAATCATCACCAAAATTACCATTTGAAGTCGGTCATGATTATGTAAGTTTACGTTATACTGATGTACGATATTCATTCAATCCAAAATATGATACAATCAATATTGAAACACTTAAGAAAGAACTTACATGTGTACCTACTCCAACATTACTCAATCAAATTGCACGAATATTTGCTGCTTCATCATCAAAAACACCTCTTCTTCTTGAAGGTCCACCCGGTATTGGTAAGACACAAGTTGTTACACAAGTTTGTCAACTATTAAATAAAGAATGTGAACGTATAAATTTATCATCAAATACATCACTTGATCAATTAATTGGTTGTATTATTCCTCGATTTATAAATGGTATTCGAACATTTCAATGGCAAGAAGGTCGTGTTTTATCAGCAATTAAAGCACAAAAATGGATTCTTTTCGATGAACTTAATTTAGCTACACCTGAAGTTCTCGAAGGTCTTACACCTCTATTTTATCGAGGTGTGACTGAATTTCTTGTACCAAATACAGGTGAAAAAGTTCCATTGAAAAATATTCTTCTATTTGCTACAATGAATCCATCAACAATAGGTGGTGGTCGTAGTAAATTACCTCGTTCAATTAGTAATCTATTTACTATTGTTCAACTTGATGATTATTCTGAAGAAGAATTACGTATTATTCTTAATCAAATATTTAAAAAAGAATTAAATGATGATAAAACAATAACTATGTCACAAATTGAATCACTATTTGATATGCATACATCACTTAAATTACTTGTTCGTGAAGGAACACTTGGACGTACAGGTGGACCATATGAACTTAATTTACGTGATTTATCAAAATTTCGTGATGTATTTCGTGGTTCAATTAAAAGTCAATTATTTCATTATCAATATATAAATACAACTGATGATGAAGATAAAGAAACAAAATCTGATGATATAACAAAACAAAATGAATTAAATCCAACAATGAATACATCAGATGCAAGTTTCTTATCGATTCGAAAATTTGCTCAAGTTGTTTATGCATGTCAATTTCAAGATCAAACTGATTTTACTAAAGCATGTAAAATGATAAATACAAAATTTCCAATTAATGAAACGTTAAGTAAACGTGAAAATGATTGTTCAATTGATACGGCTGTTGCTAGTGTTGTTCGTATTGGTTCTATTTATATTAATACAGGTAGTGAAGATGTATCACCATCTAATATTGGTCTTATTCATACAAAAAAAACTGTTCGTCAACTTGAATTACTTGCAGCAGCATGTCAATCAAAACGAGCTATTCTTCTTGAAGGTGATATTTGTTCTCGAAAATCTTCTCTTGTTATGGAATTAGCTCGTATAACTAGTAATCGTCTTATTATTATTCCATTACATGAAAATTTTGAAACGACTGATTTAATAGGTTCATGGTTACCAACTGATAATAATCAATCAAATGAATCACCTATATTTGAAAAAATTGATAAAATGTTTAAACAAATTATTAAAGATTTATTTCTATTTGTTATGCCATTATTATTTGATGATAGTAATAAATATGTTTTTGATAAATATCGAACAATTCTTCAAATACGTAGTAAAAATTCATTTATTAAACGAACTGAAACTATAAAAGAAGAAATTCAAGCATTAAATGATACAATGACACTCATGAATGATATATGTAAAATTCCACAAATGCCAAATGAAATAAAATTACGTCTTTCATGTTATTCACGTCAAGCTGAAAATTTCATTACTAAATTAAATATTCTTCGTGTTACTGAACAACAAGAAATAGGTTTTACATTTGTTGAATCAGAATTTGTTCAAGCTATACGTGAAGGTTGGTGGGTTCTTTTAGATAATATTAATAGTGCACCACCAGATGTACTCGAACGACTTAATTCTCTTACTGAAGATAAACCAATGTTATCATTATATGAAAATTCAAAAGGAGAAGTACTTAGAGAAAATCAAGGTATACATCAAAATTTTCGTCTATTCACAACAGCTAATCTTAATCGTATATATTCAAATAAACTTTCATCAGCTTTTCTTAATCGTGTTATACGTATTTGTTTACCACAAATTGATGATTATGATATTAAAACTAATAATGATCCAACAACAAGTGATTTATATGAATTACTTTCAACACAATTAATTACTATTCCAGCTGGAAAACAACTTGCTCATTTACTTATATTAACACATCTTAATGTTAAACAAGATGTTAAAGATAGTATTTTGACATATACAAGTGATTTTTCTGTTACATATCGACTTTTAGAACAATGTGTTCATACAATTTTCTATCTTATTAGTCGTAAAGTTAAGCCAGTTGATGCATGTTATTGGTCATTAATACGTTGTTATTGTTCATCATTACAAAATCATGAACAATATAAATCATTTATAACTAAATTACAACAAACAATAGATAAACTTAATTTACGTTCATCATCTACAGTTTATTCAACAGCATCAGATGAACTCGATCATAAACAAGCTTTATGGATTCAAGAATCTCAACGTATTCGTTCGAAATTTATTTCATTTGAACGTTATCTTATAGAATTAATATTTAATATGATTAAAATATTAACATTCGATAATAAATCTATTAAATTAACATGTGATCTATTAATATTATTTATTGATAATATTCTATTAATAATGACACCATCCGATCCAAACCTTATTCAATTAAAACAAAAATTAATAAATAATGATAATATACAAATAGATTTAGATAAATTATTAATTGATTTAATGCAACAAAAAAGTATTTCGGTTCATATTGATTTTAAACAAACGACAAATAAAGGACAATTAATACAAAGACTTATATCTGACGGATCACTTTGGTTATATTCAACATGTGAAGAAATAAGTACATTACTTGAATTATTTATACGTAATACATCGTTTAATGATACACATGAACGTCTTGAATTTCTTCAACGAGTCATGTCAATTATTGATGTATTTCATCAATTCTTTAGTTCATCAATCTTTGCATCATTTGATCAAACAACTGAATTAACACGTTTATGTTCAAGTGTTATACAATATATTCGACCATTAGTTACATTTAAAGATAAATGTTCTGCATATGTACTTTTTCATGATCCAGCATTTATTGATGCTAAATATCAATTTCGTTTACAATTATTTGAAAATTTTGATAGTGGTCTTGTTTGGTCATTTGAACGTGCACAATCATTTCCAATACGATCAACACGAAAAGATCTACGTAAACTTATTGAACATATGCTTAATACAAAGACAAATACAAGTATGATGAAACCAATTCAATATTTTGCTACACTTCTCGAATGGATTAGTTTACAATGGACATTTGATGATTACCTTACAATAAGTGTACGAAATTCACTACAGAAAAATGTTTGTATTACACGAGATTTTATTCTTGAATCTGAATTAAAATTTTCGGCATTGGAATTAAGTAATAAAATGACAATAATAATTGGAGCTATTGTACGTGATTTACCATCGGAATCAAGTTCAATTAATATAAATCATTCTCGTTTAAAAAAAGAACTTGAATTAAAACGAGCAGCATTAGATAGATGTAAAGAAAATATTCAAGAACTTGAAAGTCAACTTGCTGAAACAGAACCATCAAAACAATATGAAATAAATGTAACTAATCGAGGAACATCAAATTTACGTTCAAGATTATCACGTGATATATCTATTTTTCATCCAGATGAAAATTCACTTCGTAGTCGATTGAAGGCACTTGAACAAGAACAAACTACATTAACACGAGAAGTAGCTACATTAAATAACGATTATAATGATTCTAATCATAGTCGTACAGCAGCATTAGATAAAGCAATAGCTGCACGTGAAAAACTCTATGATGAAATGAAAAATTTACTTGAATCTGATGCATATAAATTTGTTCGTGAACAACTTGAACAATCTGATGCTAAACAACTCAATCATCTTGTACGATTACTAAGTGAAGCTCGAAAAAATTCAACATTAATTAATCGTGAAGGTTTACTTGATACTCGTGCTATATTGGCTACATCATTTGGTCATGAATTAATTGAACATGATGATATTCTTGAATCATCTTTAGCATTTTTTCTTTTGGGTTATTATTTTCTTTCATGTTTTGATCAACGATATCAATTTTATATTATTTCAAATTGGGAACAAATTGATAATGATATCGATATAAATACATTAAATCCTCATGATTTAATTATATATTGTCCAAATAAAAATCCTTATGAATGTTGTTTATTATCAACAACAAAACAAAATAATACAATATCAATTATTATATCAAGTATACAACAAATATATACCAACCAATTACGTACTGTATTAAATGAATCATTACCTGATGGTGTTCAATGTCATATTAAACAAAAACTATTTGAACATATAAAAACAACAATAACAGAAAATGGACAAGAATTATTTGGTTTAGCTTGTTTAATGCATTTATACCAAGGAGATGATATAACATTGAAAAGAATTGGTGAAATTTATGATCAAATTAAAATTATATTTAATGAATTAAAATATTTTGTTGAACATAATGTAGCTGAACATAAATCATCAACAGTATTAATCTATCAAAATATAAATAGATTTCAAACAGATTTAGATTCACTTATTCTATCAAATATTTCTGATGATTTATGGATAACATCAATTCAACAAATGTGGACATTTATTAAACCATATCAAGAAAAATTTTCATCAACTGTAGCACAAAAAATTCAAGAAGAATTACAATATTCTATACAATCAATTGAACCACCTAATTTAAGTAGTCGTTTAACATCATTAGGTTATTTAGAATCATTAAAAGAAAAATATGGTGGTGTACATATGATTATTCAACATTTAAAAGATGGTATGAGTTCAACAGCTATTGAAAGTATTCCTGAATTTCATATATTATTTAATTTTGTTAATAAAATATTAAAATTATTAAAATTAATTGTTCAACATACAATATATGGTAAAGATGATTATATTAATGAATTATATGAGAATACACCATATACAATTACTCATTTAGAACATATTTTTCAGTTAACACTATCTGTGATTGATATTGTTAATAATCAATTACATATTGGTGTAATACAAACAAAATCTGTATTCGATGATTTACAAATAAAACTTGATGAATATTTATTAAAATTAAAATTTAGTAATAAACTTTTAATACGATATAATCTTACAAATATAATTCGACCATTAGGTATATTATTCGATCCAAATCGACGTTTAGTTACATTAATTGATACATCAACTGCTACATCAAATGAAAGTTCATCTATTATGAAAGATCCACTTGAATTACGTAGAAAACAAATGCAATCACAAATTGATGAAACAATAAAGAGATTAAAGGATAATTTAATAATTGCTAGTCAATTACCTATACAACCACAACCAATTATTCAACGTATTCATACAGCTTTACATAAATTAAAAACATTCGATATAAATCAAGATACCGAAAAGAATTTTAAATGGCTTATACATGAAGAACGAACATTAGCTGATCTTCTACAAAAATTTATTCAAGAAATAAATCAATATACAACATCTAATGTTACTTTACCTGATGATGAATCTATTCATGAAATTAATGAAACTGAACTTAGTTTAAAAATTAACAATGCTTGTACATTAAATTATGAAAATGAATTAAAAATTTTACAAGAAAATATTAAAAATAGTAGTCAAGGTAATCAATTCAATGGATTAAGTAATGTTATTCGTTTAACAAATGCACATATATTAAGCCAAACGTGGTTACGTGCCGTATGTCTTTTAAAATCGGATAATAATGATGAACTTCGAGATACATTCATGAAATTAAATAATGATTTAGCTATGCAACTTGAACGTGGCTTGAATAATGAAGAAAATAAAAATACATTAATGGATAATTTTGCGTTTGCTTATGCACAATTTCGTTCTGATATACTTAATGTCGAAGCTAAACAAGGTATGCTTTCAAATTATATTGATGCTGCTAAACTTGTTAATAGTATTCAACAATGGACAAAAAAAACAAATCTTAATGTATTTAATATGTTTGACAACATTAAAAAAATTAGTTATGATTTAAATCTTACAGAAAATCGTATGCAAAATTTTACAACAAATGTTAGTTGTAGTTTATTACCAATTGATATTCGACCGGAAGATCTTATTTGTTTATTTATACCTGAATATACAACTGTTATGCTTTCTATTTGTGAAAAATTTAATCAAATTGATGAATTTCTTAGTGGACGTACTAATAAAATTGAACCATTACAATTACCATCATTTGTATCATCTAATGGAGCAACAAATGGTTTATCAAGTTTTATATATCGTGACCAATCAACCTCAACACCATTATTTGATAAACAAAAGCATATTCTTGAAATACGTGGGCATTCAACTAAATTTATTCAACAATTAATAGCTTTATTTATGGAACCAAAAATTCAATCGGATTTATTAATGAATGTATCAATGAGTGTCAAAGAATTATTTCCTATTCAAATAGCTCTTTCATTTGCATTATTAATTTTAATTGATTGGACAGCAATGAATTTAGATGATTTCTATGAAAATATACATTTACTTACAATGACAACATTACAAGAAAAAGATGTTGAATTACAAAAAATGAAAACAAATATTTATCATCTTGAACAAGATCTTATTCAAGATGAAGAAGATTTAATAAAAATTTCTCAAGATTATGAAAATGCTGAAATTGATCGTGAAAGTAGTAGAAATGGAGCATATTCTGTTTGTGATCGTTTACAACAAATAGTAGATAGATATCTTATAGATAAAACAAATCTTGAACAACAAATTAAAAAGAAAAAAGAACAACTTTCTAATGATCAACTTCTTCTCAATGAAGAACTAATAATGTATAAAAATAGACTTAAACAAGAACAAGATCAATGGCTTTTCGAAACAGTTAACTATTTAAAAGTTATATCAGAAAAACTAATTACATGTATTACTGATGCAATCGATAAACCTATGCCGAACAACAAATCTCAAACTGATATTTCTACACTATTAAATAATATTGTTGATTTTTGTCGACAAAATTTACTTGAACCAACGAAAACAAATCTTAATAGTACTAATATTCAACAAATGAAAGATTCTATTATTTCTGAATTAAATAATATAAAAACACATGTTAAAGACAAAATAGTTGATAATGATCCAATGTATTCATTTATTTTTTTCTATTGTGATTTAATATGTATAGGTCTTGATTCACTTATTCATTCGACATTAAGTTGGAATAAATATGTTGATACATTAAAAACAACACAAATGATTGAATATGGAAAAACTAAGAAAAAAATTATTTTATGTGATTTAAATCGTTGTACAAATAGTGAATGTAAAATATTTCTTGATCAAGTTCGAAGTGGTGAAGAACAAACTAAAGTATTAAAACATGCATATGATATTAGTCGTCAAGTTCATACTGAAGTAACAAAATTAGATATGGCATTTACTGGTCAATATAGTAAACATATACAATATTTAATTAGAGAATTTAAACGATTCGTTGGTAATTTACTTTATGCTGGTTGTCTCTATTCACAATTACAATATGGTGTTCGAGAACCATTTAGTGAATATCTTGTTGGCATTGAAAATGATATAATTAATTCACGTTTACCAAAAAGTGAATCTGATTTACTCAATTTATTAGAAACATGTGAAATGCAATTGAAAAGTCATAGTGATGCACTTCTCTATCAAACATTACATATTGCATTTACATTTCGTTCAAATTCATTTAGTCTATTTGATGAAATTAATCGTTCTATAAAAGAATTAATTCAATTTGTTTTACCATCTGCTCATTTAATTAGTCGTTCTTGGTTAACAATTGATACATTAATTCATAAAATATGTCAATCTGTAACTGTTGAAGAAGGTGAAATATTAAAAGAGATCTGTAAAGATTTTTCAAAATTTACTGACGAAACATCCGAAATTAATAATCAAAGTGATTTCATTAATAAACAACTTGAATCAAATTTATTGAAAATAATCTGGGAACATATTGAAAAACTTGCAGAAATTCTTGTTAAAAATCGACCATCAATGAAAACTTTCAATGAAAATCTGCTTAATCGATGGCATAGAACAATGAAAGAAATCTTTCGTGGATTTATTCAAACACGTAAATTTAATATTCAACGTCAACTTGAATGGAATCAACGAAATTTTAAACAAATTAGTACATTATTTAATATTGAAGATGCAACATCAAATATGAAAACAAATTCTATCTATCGATTAGCTGATATTGAACGAGCACTTCAACAAAAAACTCGTCTTCTTGCCGATGTCGATGCTGATCATCGATCATCTCGTTTACATCGATTACAACATCTTGAAATTGTCTATCAATTAATTGTGGGTGGAATTGATAATTTAGAAGCGATGCTAATGAATATGCCTATTCATCATATTGATTCGTTATCCTTTTTTAAATTATTAAATTCAACACGTGAATTATACAGAGCTAGTGAAATAAATCTTCTCGAACAACCTCTGATTCATTTGATTAATGATGATTCAATATTTAAAAATTCTTTTCAATTACTCGATGGAATTTATCGATTAGAACAAAGTGTATTTCAAGATCTATATGAAGCTGCTAAAGTAGAAATGGAAAATCGTTTCAATGAATTTCAAAGTTCTATTAAATTTAAATTGATTTTCGATATAGTTAAATCAGAAAACGATGAATGGAATAAAGCTGGCGAGAATTTTATTCGTTTACGTCAAGAAAAACGAAAAAAGATATCATGGACATATATTAAAGCTCGTATTCAATCCAGTAGGGTATACAAGAGTCTTGTTTCCCATTTAACATTAACTGGTCATTCCAATTCTCAGACTAATATTGATACATTATTTCAGTTTTATGCTAGTGAAATATTAGTGTATATGGCATATCATCAGAAGGGTAATGATCTTGCCTTCTCGTTGGCACCTCAAAAAGAAGTGCAAGAACTTATTAAGTTGCATAGTCGTTATAAAAATTCGTTTCAGCTAAGTCCAATAGATAAAATGTTATCTCTAGTATCTGGAAATATTTCATGGCTTCTAATTAAATGTTCAGATGTTTATTTAACTAGAATCGATTTACAGTTGTTGGTTGAAGATGATCAACAACCTGAAGATACTTTTCTTCCTGAGCAACTACCATCCGATACTAATACTCCAAAGGTCACCGAAGTAAAAGAAAAGAAGATTAAGTACAATATTGTCTCTGAAATACCAGTTTTTCTACAACCCAAAGAGACTGTTGTTAAAATATCCATTTCATTACCTAGAATTGATGCCATCAGTATTAAGAGAGGCAATCAACAGATATTTCAACTAGAATGGCGGAAATTTGCCATCGACCAACGCGAACATATCATTGATCGGTGTTTGAATGTCAAGTATTTTCGAGGTCAAAAGCAATTCTATGTAACTAAATTAACTTTGGATACTGAATCAGCAACTAATGGTCCATTGCCGAGTGAAATCGAACGAAATTTAACCGATTTAGAAGAACAAATTAAGAATCAAATGAACAAAATAAGTGATAATGAAGCATGGAAAACATTGATTGCCAATACTACAATGCAGAAATTTAAAAACAACATGAATCAAATTGTTCAATTGAGTCCATGTTTACAATTAACATCGAATGATGTATTAAATCCAACAAATATTTATAATCTATTCAACAAATTACCTAACTCAGAAATACAAAATAGTTTGTTAGATCTGATACCAGTCAAAGATTTCTCAGCTGTGCCACAAGATATTCGTATTGTAGAGGACTTTGACCCAGCTTTAGAATACGAATTTAGTCATGTGTGGACTCGATCAATGGATCGTTCCTTTCAATCGATTATTAAATGTCGTGATCAAGTCTATTTCGACATATATTTGTATGTCGATCAATTACGTTTAAACAAATGCCAGTTGTTTCTATTGTATACCTGTGCTAATACATTGTCAAATAATATGACTAGTAGTATTCAATCAGATATTAATACCATGTTAGCAGAATGTACTAAATTTTGTAAACTTAAATATTTGGATAGACCAGAATATGTTAGACATTTAGAACAATGTCAACGTCTCATATATGAAGCACAACGAATTTATCGTACAATGAAACGATCATCGAATAATTGGGCAGAAATAAATGATCTTTTTGATTTATCATCATTTAAGATTGAAACTAATCTTAGTAATGCTTTTCTGCATTCACAAATGAGTCGTGATACTCACATGTGGTTAGTTGAAAATATTGGATCGGATACAATATCAACAATAATAACATGTCATCCGAAACCAGCTGTACTTGATTTTGGTGTTGCACTTCCTGGAATTCATCAACGAATGACCCAACGAATATATATTCATAATGAAGTTGATCGTGATTTAAAAGTAAAAATCGATCGAAGTACTAAACCAACGGATACACCATTTGATGTTACGAGTGATAATCTACAACTAGCATCGGGCGATATTTGTGAATTAGAAGTTATCTTAAGACCACCAACGAATATTTGTAATTTGAAAGAAGGTTGGGATCTTATTGTTAATGATCAAACTAAACTTTTGAATACACTTCAAGTACAAGCAGAAATCGTAGAAATTGATCTTAAAATATCATCAGAGACAATTGATTTTGGTATAGTATCTTGTAATAGTCATCGAATAGAAGAAAATATTCAATTAGAAAATATTCTTCCATATTCAGTTCGTGTTAAAGCACAACTAAAACTACCAGAAATTAATCAATATGATTCAGTTCTAACAATAATCAATAATGAATTCACTATACAAGCTAAATCTAAAATATCTTTCGGCATAGCATTGGAAACATCAAAAAATATGGAAGAAACTATTGAAGCAGATGTTTTTCTGGCAGTGGATACACCTAAAAATATTAAATCGATTAAAATTAATGCTAAAATTCG